TAGTAAATAACATAATTCTGAGGTAAATATAATTTAATGCTGAAGGCTGTCTTATCACATTTAGAACAAAGTGCAGCAGGACGGGGTTTTGTTCCTGTTGCTGTCTTTCTTCAAGTCTGGTTAGCAAACAAATCACGTTCCCTGTTTCGTGAGTGGTACAGTTATCCATGTTAGAATTGATATATTTCAAATGCCTCTTTTTAAATCGAGTGAACCAAAAGGAAACCTTATATTATTGAAAGTGCTTAAATATATATATATATATATTTAGTATGTAAGCACAGCTATAAAGTGTCTGCATGCAACATGTAATGTCTACTTTCATCGTCAGTGATTTTCAAAGGCTTTTAATAAAAGTCTTTAGAAAAAGACTTTTCCTATGCAGACACTTTTTGTCAAATTTCCTCATTTTTCTAAGATTAGAAACACTCCTGAGGTTCTCACAAGGAATGTGTGGTTGGCCTCTGTTGCCTTTTTTTTTTTTTTTTATTTTTTTTTTTTTTTAATTACTTGTGTTTCCCAAACGAGAATGTGCTATGTAGTTGTGGTTTGGACAGACTATTATCAGCCCTCAGGGAAGTTTACCAAATCTGACCTGGTTGACCAGTTGGGAACCAAAGTAATGTTTCTAGGTGCTCATCTGCACTGTAGCTCCAGAATGAAGGGCTTTGAAGGCCTAGAAGCTTCAGCTCTCTAGAGCTGATCTGTCACTTTAACAGTTTTAAAGTTCTTCAATCTGGGAAGTCTTAGGAGAAGCTATGCTTTGAAAACTTATCTGAGAAGCTTTGATACTGCCCATGAGCTATCAACCTCAGTGACTTTTGGATGACATTACCGTTGCATCAAGATAGTCAGATTTTTCAGAGCTCTCTTCTGTATTGCACTTTCATTTGTTATGTGTAAGGAACATAGAAAAATAAATTACAGCATTTGCTGGTTCTTACTAAACTAAATACATCTGTTTTATTTCAACATACTTTCTTTGCATTACATATTTCTTTTTTTGAATCAGTAATACTGAAAAAAACAACCCATAGGGTGGGGTAATGAAGTTCTAGTTATCATATGACCAAAATGATTTAGAGTAATTAAACCCCTATTTTTTTTTTTCTCTGACTAAAGAAACATCCTTATTTTGCAAAGTGTGATGGGAAAAAAAAACACCACCTTTGTTGTCATCTGTATACTTTTTTTCTTCATATAATAGAATAAATGGAATGTTGGCTAGCAGGACAAGTTAAGGATATAAAAACCAGTGGTGAGGAAGGAAAAAAAGCCCAACACATCACTGTCAAGGATGAGTTTGAGTGGGAGAGGTTATACTTGAGGCAGGCTGGCTATTAAATTTGGTGAACAGTTTTGAAAATACTTTAGCTTTTTTCACAGATGCTCTTTACTTTTTTTCATGGAGGTATTAGTTTTAGGAAGAACAGCTGGAGTGTTCATACTACTGTGATCAGTTTCATACTATTTATTCCCATATCAGAAACTAATTTGGAACAGAGATTTTCAGAGAGGGATGAATATATTTACATTTAATTTGTGGTTTCAAGTCCATGTAGCAGCTGGCAAATTAAAAGTAAAATAACTGTGTAAGATGTTTTTGAAGAAGGGGACTGAATGATATGGAGATATAGGTTCTACTGTTTCATGGTAAAGCTTTGTATTGTTCTGATATATAATGAAAGAAATTATAGTATCTGTAATCATAAAAAGAGAAACCAAAAGGCATCAATTGACTTCAGTGCTTTCAATCTGGACCTGAAGGTAACAATTCATGATTTCGAAAATGTGTGTGGTAATGAAGAGTGAACTGAAGATCTTGACTTTTTTCAGGCACCTATTAGTGGAAAATGTGCCAAAAAACTTTCTAGTACGGAGTGACTGGGTGATTAAAGAAAAAATAAATTTATTTTAAAAAAAAAATATAGTATAATGCACAGAATAAAGAAAATAATTTGAATTTCACAGTTCATGACCTCAGCTCATTTTTACCAGTCAGGAACTAGATTTAGAGATGGTAATGATTCTGTAGTGAGGTTGTGTGCATTAGCTGTGAACTGTATTGTTAGAAAGCAGAGATTTTTGGAAAAGGTATAGGGAGCAAAGCTTAAAAAAAACCAAAAACAATAAACCCCACCTCATTTTATGTCCAGATGCACGTTGAAAGCAACACTGTATTCAATTGTTCTCTTAATTTCAGAAACAGTACAGAAAAGAAACACCTCAAAAATGTTTAAATATATCCAGTGATAGTGATACAATACACAGACTAGATAGAGTAGTAATTTCTCTAAGGGAAAACTCAGCACCTAGAAGCAATTAAATTATTAGTGAAATAGAAAATGTAAATACTAAATGTAAACAATTTTTTGCTTACTCTCCCTTCTGATTTGAAATCTAGGATCATGTAATTAAACTAATAGGTGAGTTTCTAAATGGAAGGTGTTTTTTCATATTGTACAAAGAACTGACCTTTTTGGGGGAGGAAATCTCTGATCTATAAATAGCTGAAGATGCCTAAATATTCTGGTAAAGCATTGCTTTGTGTTGGGCCTGTTCTTTTCCCATAGACAGAGACTGGTGATTTAAACTAACTTGTTCTTCCTTCTGACCTGTTACAGATGGATTTCTCTGTTCTTTCACAATTAATTCACTAGGCAAGAGAACTAGCTTGGAACTACTTACATATTTGGCTGGTACACCACGGGCCAACACCCTTGGAGTTAAAATCCAAAAGCTGCTACTAGTTAACAAATCATCATATGAGTCAGAGTAACTGTCTGTGTGTGAGATCTTAATCATAAATCTGAAGTTACTCAGGCTGACTTTTTCCTACTGAGAAAGGGCCTTGCTGTTGGGTCCAAATGCACCCAACAGTCCAAGGCAAGATACTCCGTAAGTATGTAGGAGTGACCTGTGTACTTCAGTAAATTGAAGTCACATTGTAAAATTTTGATACTCATGACAGAAATACAAAATCACAACTATGCTATCTCTAATGGCTCTTGAATCAGAAATGTGTTCTAAGATTTTTCCAGTTCCAAGGACAGACCTAACTTAAAGTAGCTGTTTCACATGGCATGTTTGCTCAGTCTGTTTCCTCAGTATTACTGTTCTGCTGTGGCACTAGTGTTGATGAGCATAATTTATCTATCACTGTTTCTAAAGAGTAGCTCTGAACAAGCATTGCCAACCTGTAGCTTGTCAGTGCTGCTTTTGCAGTATAGGTATCTATGCCAGGACTGAATTATGTCATCATCATTGGAACTGATGTCTCCCCGAAACACAAGACAAGCTGTCACTTGTTCTAGAAATTTTGCACTTGATGCTGAGCTTATATATAAGCATACTAGAGGTTCATAATATACTATGGTAGACCAGGGTCTGTCCTGATGCTAGTCAACTTTTAGTAAGTATTCTGCTCACTTTTTAGCAATTTTCATTTATAATTATTGTTTTTTCAAGTTTTCATAATTCAGTTTATTCATATATAAATTTCATTTTTGTTGCCAAATATTCCATTGAAAAATTACTTGTTGAAATAAGAACATGGAGCACTAAGATCAGTTCTTGACACTTCAGAAAAAGCACTTTATGATAGCAAAATCTTGATGCAGTAGAGGAGGAATTTAATAGCAGACATGTCAAAGAATAAAAAGGACCAGTTTCTTTGATATGGAGTAGGAACTCCCAAAGGAGAGTCATTATAAACATTCTAATTATAGTCATTACAGTTATTAATTCTTTTTTACAGAAATGATGAGATAAAATAATAATTGTAGAAGTAATTTATCACTGGCAGGTCTCTATGTTGTTTGATGAAGATCAGTAGCATCTGGGTTAAACTAAATAAAATTGAATACTTTAATACATTAGCCAGATGAATTATATTGTTTCATTAAAAAAAAATAAATAAATCCTGATCCTTTAGAAAACTTCAGTTTAACTAATCTGAAAATTGAGTTATCTCCCAGGGAGGGGTAGCATTGTAGACTAGAAAGAAAACTCAAAAGGTCAGGAAAAGTAGTAGAAGTAGTTTGAATATATTTAAAGTGAGTAAAAGAAAAATGTTCTAGACTCCATATAATCTTGGATAAAATTCTAACATCTTGGAATAGATTATGAGCTATAGAAAAAGAACCCTATAATTTGATGTAAAATTATGTGAAATCTGTTAATAAATGTCTAAAATGAAGTACTATAAGCATATATATGCCATAAAATAATTTTTCCCGACAGTAGCTAAACGCACGGTTTCGCAATCCAGTGGGGCAAAATGAGCAGCATCATTTTTGTTCCCTTCCCCCATCTGTGCTATTAACTTTTGTTGGTATTAGTGCTGTCATACTTATTCAGCTGAGGCAGCTCTCTAACAAGGCAAAAAGTGCGTAGGGGGTTTTTGTTGTTTATTTTTGAGATGTTAACAGGGTTTTGCTGTTGAAGTGTATAAGTGGCATTACTGTGAAAACCAGATGAATCCCAGAGGTAACTAAAAGCAGACAGCAGGATGAACAGATTAAGGTTGGAAATGGAAGCAGAACTTCCCTTTTTGGCAGTGTCATATTGCTAATCCAATTCAGGCTGTATTGTTAAAAAGCATATTCTAAAATTCCTTATCTAAAATTATCACAGCAGTAACAAATAGAGTGTTGTGACAACTGAGCTGTATGTTAATGCACTCTAACAGTAGTAGAAAACATTGGGAGGAAACTAGTGTGAGATAATTTTATAAGTATTTTAAAACAACCTGTGTATATCTCAGTAAATGAAAGTAAGACTCTAAAATTTGGAGGTCAGTGATAGAAATACAAAGTCACAGGTATGTTACGTCTAATAGCTGTTGAATTAGAAATTTAAGATTTTCAAGTTTAGTGTTAGTTTTATGCATAATCTTTTTCACATAATTCTGTGGTAACCTAAATTTTGTTAATCTTTTTCTCTGGCTGTCTTGTGTTTAATGCTGAACAGAAATTAAATTTATAAATAAAGTAATTGGGCATTCAATTATACTGATTTTTCTTCCCCCCTACTTTCAGGTCTCAAATCTTGCCGTGTACTATTAGTCTTGTTTTGAACTTAATCTTGGAATTCTACATGAAGTGTCATGCGGCTGTGACATTGTACTAACAGGCTGCCAGCAGCTAACTTACAGGCTTTCTGGTTGAGGTATGTCCTTAATGCTGTGCTATTTTTTGTTTACAGAATTCAGAAAACAAAATTTTAGATCTTTAAAGTTGCAGAGCATCATTGTTTCAGGTTTAATTTGCAATTGTATTAAGTCAGAGTATCGGTTAACTACAATGAAGTTGTTTGTCTGAAGCCAGTAAATAGGTTAGCAAACAAAACCTGTTCTGAACATAATGTACTTCTGTCATATTGCATTTTGTCCTTTACTCTTGTTCTGCTATGTTCTGCTTTTTTTCTTCTATTTTCTGAGCTGTTTATCTATCAGACTTGTCAAAATATGATAGTTCTGAAATAATGGAACCAGAATTTCCATTTACTGGGATTTATTTGGGCTAGGAAAACAATGAAGTTCAGAAGTAAGATGTTTTATGAAGTATGTGAGTCCAGGGTGGCAGAACCTCAAAATCTGACAAATGTTCTCAAATCAGAAATGGTTTTTTGTTCTCCCCCCCTCTGCAAACAACTGTTAGTTTCTCACTCAGTGTATGTGTCACGTTTGTGTACATATTATTTCTGTTATGTAGGAACTTTATGAAGCTTTAATACTGTTGAATTTGGTAATAAGAAGTCTGACTTAAAAATATTTGTCTTTTGCTCAGTTGTGGCCAAAATCCTTCTGTTTGGATTCTGAACTATGACATCATGGCAAGATTTCGCAGAAGAACATGCATCATTTTGTTGCTTTTTATTTTGTTTATTTGCTCCATAATGATGGCTTTGAAGACTCTGAGACCTGATAGAGCTGGATTTGGGGATCCATTTGGACTTGGTTTGTTGCCTGAGCTTCAACAACGGACAGTGCATTTAGATAATAAACAGAATTCATTAAATAGGGTTCAAGGAGATACTGTAACGCGTGTTGGTAATTTGCATAGTATCGCAGTCAACACTATGAAAGCATCTATGCCTCCTGTAAACAAGCTGGAAGAAGAGCTGTCTTCTCCTAATTATAACTTTCACATATTCTACTATAGTTGGTTTGGGAATCCACAGTTTGATGGTAAATATATTCACTGGAACCATCCGTTGTTGCCACACTGGGATCCCAAAATCGCAAACAATTATCCAAAAGGAAGGCATAATCCTCCTGAGGACATTGGGGCCAATTTTTATCCTGAGCTCGGATCTTACAGTTCCAAAGACCCTTCTGTCATAGAAGCCCACATGAAACAAATGCGTTCAGCTTCAACTGGTAATGAATGTTAACATTTCAGCATGTTGTTCATTTATCCAGCCTTAAATATGAATGAACACAACTGACCCGTTCTGCCATTTTTCTATGTAATTCTGAAAATGTGTGAAACTAGTAAATATCATTGTATTTTTGAGTTTTAATCCCCAACTGCAACTACATCTTCAAAGCTGTGTCTGATGAGTGTAATAGCACAGAAACATAAGAACTGTATTTGTAATCCTGTAGGTGTAACTGATAACATATGTAGAAAATACAGAAACCATTGCTAGAATATATTGTCTGCGTATTTTATTTTTGGAGATAAATACTTCAGCTTTAAGAACAGGTTTCAGTAAATCATGTTAACATGGTTATGGAGCAGTCTGTTCAAATAGGAGTGTTTTTTTCTTTTCTGGATTCTTTGTGTGTAATAATTATGTATTAATTCGTATCTTGAGCATGTAGCATTGTAGCTTTTATATTTATAGGTGTTCTCATTTAGGTATACAGATGTCTAATCCAAACCTTCTTTGGTACGATTGTTTCAACATAGATAATTACAATTTATTTCTTTGACCAAAAGTATATTTTTTCCCAATAGAAACTGATGTTTCCTTTCTCTAAATAAGATGGACCATGTATATAAAAATATTCAATATATTTTTGGTGTCATTCTTTGTTGTTGGGCTTTATGGTCCTTTTTATGTTCATCTTCTTTAAAATAAGCAGTCATATAGACTAATATTAAACTCTGAACAGCTGCAGAGAAATCTCAAGTATTAGTTGCCAGTAAGCACTTTTTTAGTCTTGTCTAAAGTGAAATAATGCATGATAGTATGACGGAAGCAGAGAGGGCATTTGCAGATTTAGAAATATCTGTGATATTTATCATCCTCTTAAAACAAATGTCTAATAAAGCTGAACTGGTGGAAAAGGCACCAAAATGCTTTGCAAAATAAGGGGGTTTTTAGTAGCTTAAATTAGTTTTCTATTTAAAATTCAGCAATGTGAATGAGTGCTTCTTGTGACATACTCTTTATAACATATTACTGATACTTGTCAGAAGTTATTTTTTTCTGCTGTTATTCTAACATGGATTTAAGTACATTTGAATGTGTTCTCTTCCATCTAGATTTGACCAACATAAATCATCAACTTTTTTTCTCAGGTCATTATTTCAAATATTGCATCTTCCTTAATAAGAATTATACTTTGCTCATTTTTTGTGTACCGTGAGGTTGACTATTTACAGTTTCTCTTTGTTTCTTAGCCAATATATAATCTATGACTTCATTTTACATTCCTTCAAATAATCTTTCTTCTAGCCTTTTTTGAGGCTTTTTCAAGAATCTTACAAAAAGGAGAAAAATGTAAGTGGTTCTTTCTGCCATTATTGTATAATGATCGAAGTCATACAAGCGATTTGAGCAGCAGGAGTGTCATGCAGTGCTTCCTTGTATTCTTATATTTTACAATTCTTCCCTTATTGGTTTCCTAGATTGTAACAGATTAATACAGTAGATTTATTCCTTGGATTACTTGGTGAAATTTATTTTATTGCACCAAACTGTTTTTGAAGTAGTCCAGTTTGAAGTCCTTTGCCTTGAATGACTCTACTCTGGTTTTAAACATTTATGCTATTTTTGGCATTGAGTCTATCCTTTTTTAGACTCCTGAAGTGGTACATAACTTTATTTTTTAACCACAGGAAAGAAAATATTAAGTAGCCTTTCTCAGGGAGAGGTCAATGCAAACATGCCTTTAGGTTCCTTGATGAACAGTTCTGTCTCCTGAACTCTTTCTTCCCTGTCTCCTAAAGCTACAGAAGAGGGACTTGACAGACACTGTATTTAAGATACCTTGACTGTTACCTGAGTTTATCGCTGCTGTTCTACTTGTCCTTTACATCTTACTCATTTGAATTTTGTCCTTTTCTTTCATAGGAAATAAAATATAGGGTGATAAAATGCAGTAAAATACTGCATTTTTCTTGTCCTTGAGCAGACTATCTCTTGTGATAGTCTATTATTTGTGATTCTCTTTTTGATAAAACGTGGAGAGAATATGCTGAATATAGTTGAACTAACTTATATATATAGTGAGCTCAAATTTCTGGTTTTGATGGTAGAAGATGATTGTGTATTCACTCTAATCTATGCTTTCTTTTTCATAATTTTGGACTTGTTTGTTTGGAAATTGTCAGTCAGAAATGTTATGTTAGTAAAATAGATAAAGTTTAGACTATATACTTCCCTATCTCTGTGATGTGATTTGTGTACTTAAATCTTTGCCTAGTTAAAAAGAATCACATTGACTTATTCTTCCATATTTTTTAAATAGTATTGTTAGGAAAATACTCCTACCTCAGTATTTCACTGTATTTCTTTCTGTTACCTTCTTCCCGATATTATTTCCAGCGACACACCTAAAAGGTGTAGTTTATTTATCTGACAGAATTTTATTTTAGAAGGAAAGTTTTTAGCCTTTTTGAAGAGATATGTGGTTTTTTGCTTTCATGGAGAGCATTAGGGAAATTTACAATATAGGGACATTGTATTTGTCGTCCTTTTTTTTGACAAATAGTCAAGGAATAGTAACATCCTTAAATTACTCACTTTTTTTTTTTTTTGTAACAAATGTGTGAAACTAGTAAATATCTGTATTTTTCATATGATTGGATGGGTGGATTACACCATATTAACTGCTTTTAGCAAGAAGGAAAGTTGTGGAATTATAGTCACTGCTTCTAGTATTAAATTGTTGTTTTGTTGTAGATTCAGAGGTACTATGCAGAAATATGGTAGGGGATAAAGTTTCATAAAATAAGAATCTCTTTTATCACATGCATAGCCCTTCTCTCTTGAGTGTTCTCTAACCTTATGTATCTTGATATTCTCTGGCTGTGCTGTGGCATAGCTGTAACACCTTAGTTGGGAGCATTCTCCTCCTCTTGGTACAACCTGGAAGCTAGGATGCTGTGCTGAAAAGTGGGTGGAAATGGCTCTAAGCGTTAGGCTTGGGACACTGAGCACAGATCTGTGCCCTTGACAGATGATCTTACCAGTGTTTGTTTTGTTGTCTTCTAAACAGAGAAATTAAATCCACTCTGAGAATACTGAGGTTTTGTAATTGGTTAAAAACTACTTTGAAATTCTAATTTATATTATGTGGATTTCCCATCAAACAATAATTATAACTCATTACAGTGTTATAGTGTACATGTTTTATGTTAAACAACATGATTTAAAACAAGTTTTGTATTTTCAGGTGTAATAGTGCTTTCATGGTACCCACCAGGTATGGCTGATGAAAATGGAGAACCAACTGATGATTTGGTGCCTGTTATTTTGGATTATGCACACAAATATAATCTAAAGGTAAAGTATTTTAAGATGCATAAAGTAGGACTACTTAGGAAAGTAACCTTGCTAAGAGTTTACTATGTTTGATTCATGGTGTAGAGCAAGAAGGCTTGTCATGTAAGAATCATAGAATACAAGGTTGGAAGGGACCTCAAGGATCATCGGGTCCAACATATTTGGCAAAAGCCAGGTGTAGACAAACAGCTCAGCACCCTGTCCAGCTGAATCTTAAAACTGTCCAATGCTGAGGAATCCACCACTTTGCTGGGGTGATTATTCTAGTGGCTTATTGTTCTCACTGGGAAAAATTTTCCCCTTGTGTCCAGTTGGAGTGTCCCTAAGGAGTAACTTGTACCCATAGCTCCTCATCTTTTCCATGTGACTCCTTATAAAATGGGAGTCTCCATCTTCTTTGTAGCCACCCTTCAAATACTGGAACGTGGTGATAAGGTCTCCCCTAAGCCTTCTCAAGGCTGAACAAACCCAGTTCTCTCAGCCTTTCCTCATCTGGCAGGCTGCCCAGCCCTTGGATCATCTTTGTGGCCCTTCTCTGGACCCTCTCCAGCCTGTATACAGTCTTTATTGTATAGTGGAGACCAAAACTGAACACAGGATTTCAGGTGTGCCCTGAAAAGTGCTGAGTATAGTGGGATAATGACTTTTTTATCTCTGCTGGTGATGCCCTTGTTGACACAACCCAGCATCCTGGTGGCTTGCTTTGCCGTGGCAGCACAATGTTTGCTCATATTGAGCTTGATGTCCACCAGGACCCCCAGGTCCCTTTCCACAGAGCTGCTCCCCAGTCTGTGCTGCGCTCCTAGATTGTCTTCCCAGGTGCAAGACCTTACACTTGTGGCTTCTGTTTCTGTCTTCTATTATGCTGCTTCTCTTTTGGGTCAGCAAAGCAGGTATAAGTGCCCTTTGAATTTCACTGAATTTTGATAAGATCTAAGCAATATTGTTGTATAACTAGAATAAATATCATATTCTGCCTTTTCTGTTTTGGTTCAGATCTAAAATTTACAGAGTCTAAGATGGTGTGGATTATTTTTTTCTTTTTAGGAAACAGTTTTAAAAATAATACATTGTTTTCAAATGAGTCTTCAGAGTTGAGGGAAATATTACATATTTTAAAATATTATGGAATACAGTGATCTGTAAACTGAGAAACTTGAAGAAAGAAGAAAGACCTCATTTTTTTCATTATCACATAACTTTCTGGCATGTGATCATAGAGGTCAGGAGCAAGCATCTATGAATGATGAAAAGGGATTTATAAGTTCTAGTTTGAATGAATGTCTTTATTCCAGAATGTATCAGAAACACTTGCCTTGGACAGTAGGGTCAGAGTTGCTGCTCTGACTTTAGGTTACTCCATGACATGACAAGATAGAAAGGCTGAATTACCAGTTTTCTGAAATAAGTGAAATATCAAATCAATTAAAGATTATGTGGATCGATCAATAGAATCTAAAATTATGGTTTGATTTTATTTTTAGAGTAAAACTTACATTTTCCCTTGAGATAAAGAAAACATGCATTGCCTTTTAGTCTTGCTGAGTAGTACATCTGAGTTTTTAAATTCTCTAAGTAGCTGTATGTTTGATCTCTGGAGCATGGTGTCTATACTGGGGACTAAAAATACAGCCTGTACATCTGCTCTGGTTTTAGTTGGTCATGCAAGTTGCAGATTCTCAGAGAAATTTTCTGTCACTAGTAGCAACAGTAGATTCTTTGACAAGCAGGAGGAAAGTAGGAAGGTTAAATGAGATACAGAATAATTTTGAAACTGTTAAAAATGCTGTGTGAATTACATTGTGGCATAAGTTGAACATATGTAGTAGGAAATTATTAAAAAGAAAAAAGAAGTATTATCCTTCCCTAGAATTTTAAGATCATCTGATGGAGCTTGCTCTCACCTAAAAGAACTTCTAACTTTCAAGTCTCTCAAGGGATCCAAGTCAAAATGAAATAAGCTACCAAGGAAAATGCAAGTAATAGTATGCTAATGAATGGAATATGGATGGAACTGCTGTTATTGCTTGGAATAATTAGTGGAATACAGATATTAAGTATAGATACTACCAAGGAATACTACCTTCACTGTAATGTTTTTAAACATTCTTGCACTAGTAATTCATTACAGTTAAGTGTTAGGAATGTCAGTAGACCAAAACCAATGAACAAATTGAATTTCTGTTATGTCTGCTAAAATATAGGACCTTTTGATTTGCCTGGTTTAATAGTTGGAAATGAAATACAAAATTATAGTCCTTTTCAACCTATTCTGTCAGTCCTAGTGATTTAGTCTAACACAGTATTTTTCTATAGTTTGTATCTAGTTGACGTAGATATTGACTCTACAATGGAAATTTGCTTCTGTTGCGGAGTTGTTGAATACTTCGTTAAATGCATTCTGCTTTTGAAAAACTAGTTACTTTGATATGTAATACACTTCCATTTAATTGTATGTTTGAAAGCAGTCGCATTTTTACATTGGAAAAACTTCACGTGTATAGGTTAAATAATTTCATAAGCTCCAAGCTTGACATTCAGAACACCAGCAGTACATTTTATTAGATTTAGTTCCAAAATTTTATTACTGTTGATAAATCTGTAAAATTGTAACTTAAAATCTATTTTGAGACTGAAAAGTCTCCTTAGAGAACTATCTATAGCAAATTTAGTACATTGCTTAGAAATTAAATATTAAAATGTTTCATTGGTTAATCAGTTCTTTGACATTTGAATAGATATTTTATTTCAATTTTTAGTTTTTGCTGTAGTTTTTTAAGTTTTCTGAAGCATGCTTACTACTCGCAGTAGCCTACGGAAAACAAAAACAGTGTTTTGTTTTAATGTAAAAAAACCTAAATATTTACTCTATTACCAAACTTTCTTGGATCCCAAGCTTTTAATCTTAGCAACGCAGGAGTTAAGTTGGGGTTGGATTATTCTCAAAATAGACTAACAAAATAGACTAACAAAATTGTTTGTTCTGTAAAGAGCCCTATTTAATGTAATTTGTACTAGCTTCATATAATATGTGGTGCCCATGTATTCAGTAGTATTTTATATTTGTGTTGCTCTTACTACATTTTCATCTTCCAGGTCACTTTTCATATTGAACCTTACAAAGATAGAGATGATCGCAGTATGTACCACAATGTCAAATACATCATTGACAAGTGAGTGCTTTCAGAATGGTTTCCTTGGGGGTCTGTTACATGCTGATTTAGGGGACTTCTTTATATTATCAAAATCTTGGAAGAATGTATAAAAATGTGTACTGAGACTGAAGAAAACTATAACAAACTTTGTTCATATTTCAGTGGTATAAAAGTCTGGTTTTTGAATAGCAAAGTGTGAATTTTACGTACTCAACTGTAAATTGCTTTCAACATTCATTAGTATCACAAGTCACGATACTTCTGATTAAAGCAGTTAATGTATTAGCTACATGATATGTAAATTAAACATACATTTTTATAGTGACAAACTAGCAGCTAGAGATTTAATATGTGGACCTCTGATTTTAATTAAGCTTGACAAATTCTATACAGGTACTTGTTTTGTTTATCAGTGCTACTTAGACTGTTTTACTTCATACTGAATTAGAGAACTGTCCTTCAGAGAAAACTAATACTTGACACTAGGTTACTAGTTTGTAGTAATTTAAAGGTTCTTTGAAGATTCATTATTTGATATTTCGGCAAACACTGGACTGAAAATGGTTATTAATTACTGTGTTTTAAAAGGCATGCACTGTCTTTTAAAATTAGTTTGTAGGAAAAGTCTTCAGCTCAGATTGTGAAACAGTATTTTCCAAATGACAAATTTTGTCTTAACGATACTTGTTTGCTTTATAGATATGGAGGCCATCCAGCCTTTTACAGGCATAAGACCAGCACAGGCAGATTTCTTCCCATGTTTTATGTTTATGATTCTTATGTAACGATTCCTGAAATATGGGCAAATCTGTTAACTGTTTCTGGATCCCAGACTATTCGGAATACTCCATATGATGCACTATTCATTGCACTTCTTGTAGAAGAAAGACACAAGCATGACATTCACAGAAGTGGTTTTGATGGAATGTACACGTACTTTGCCACCAATGGCTTCTCCTATGGCTCATCTCATCATAACTGGGCAAGTTTAAAAGCCTTTTGTGATAGTAACAACTTAATGTTTATTCCAAGTGTGGGGCCAGGGTATATTGATACCAGTATCCGACCATGGAACAACCACAACACCCGTAATCGTGTCAATGGGAAGTACTATGAAACTGCTTTCAGTGCAGCCCTTCTGGTGCGACCAGAAATTATTTCTATTACATCTTTCAATGAATGGCACGAGGGAACTCAGATTGAAAAAGCTGTCCCCAAGCGGACTGGACAGGTGGTTTACCTTGATTATAAGCCCTATAAACCAAATGTTTACCTAGAGCTTACTCAGAAGTGGTCTGAGAAGTACAGAAAAGAACAAGAACAGTGGCTTATGTGAGCTGTTGCTGCTGCAGTTGTTTCCTAACACGTTGACTACATTGAGAAAAAAATTGAGAGCTGAAAAATCTGTTATTAAATGTCTATATTATAGATGTTCAAATTATTATAGCTCTTGAATGTATATGCACTACTACTGAATTTGAATTCTGAAAAGATGATAATATTGGCATTTCTGTCTTATTGGATATTGTAGTTCAACAATATTCAGGGAAAATGCTGGGATTTTTTTTTTTCTTTTTTTTTCTTTTTTTTTTTTTTTGGAAACTTCATAACTTGCATGCTGATCTTCCAGAACGTCTGCATGGGATAACTACATGACTGAAGTAGAACAAAAATTTGGCATAGTTATACTTATTTCCTTTATTCTTGTGGTTGTGTTTCTAATCAAAATGATGCTGTAATCTAAATTTTTATCATGATAGCTTCTGCAGGATGCATGTCTGTAGTGTATGGAATAATCTACATCTACTGTTTTTAATGCTTTGCACACACTGAGTTCTTGACATTATGACTAGCTTGTGGTAAAAACACTGAAGAAGTATGTGTGATGCGCCACTAGTGGATTTTGTTTTAAAAAAGAAAAAAGTACTTGAAAGAATGAGTTCCAAAGAACTGCTGAAAGATTTCTAGTTTACATCCATTTGTTCTATTTGGTGCAGACTTTTGCAGATTACTGGATACTAACAGTAACATATTTTTTTCTGTGTTACTTTGAATTTAAAAAAAAAAGTATTTGAGAGTGGAAAAGATTTTTGTGAGGGGGGGAAAAAACCCCTAAACATTCAAAAAGTATACTAAAACTTCCATTCTTACATGTCTGCTAATTGACTGCAGATACAGATCTAGTGTGGTTTTTAAAATGTTAAAGATTCTAAAGCTAATATCTTAATAGTCCTACAATAAATATAATTTTAGGAAATGCTTTCTTGTTTCTGATTTAGGAGCAGTCTGGTTTGGAAGCAATGACAGAACTGCCCTTTAGTTTAATCTGTAATCTGAGATTTCTGGTTTTCATATAGTTCATCTAGTTGTTCCAGGATTCAGAGCAGTAGATACTAAAGTCTTGTTATCATTCAGCTAAGCTGCCTACCAATGCTGTCTTTCATACTGTGGTGTGGCTGGAAATGAGTACTTTCCAGACCTAAGAATCTCACATTTCAAATGTTGTGATTATTAATTGTTTTTCTTAATGGAGTTTGAAAGGATCAAGTCACATGGACATGTCTCCTCAGCAACCCCTTTTTTGGCATTTTCATGCAACTTCATAGGGATGTCCTGAATTTTGGAATAGTAGAAATTGCAGTGGTTTGTTTATTTGTAGCAAGTGTTTAATCTGTAGCAAAGTGGCTTTTTTTTTTTAGTTGTTTTTATTTACATTTATATGCAAGGTGCTGATCCTGTGGTTTAGTTCATATGCTGGAACTATTGTGACCACTAGAATTCCACTGGTTTCAGCAGGACCCATGGAAATTACATTCCTTACTTGGCTCTCACAGAAATCTCTTCATGAAGTTGTAAGATGAATGTGAGGACTTCTGGTTAAAAGAAGAAAACAAAACAGTGTGATTTTTTCCAAAAATTATTGTAATTCCAAATAAACATAAGCTAGTTACTACTAATATTTTTCTAGAGTCTTTCTGGTATGAGAGAGGTTTGTTTATGTATTTTTCTCTTATTTACAGTTTAATTCTCCTGTCATTTCTCTGCAGTTGTTAAAGAAATGAGGTATCATAATGCCCTCAGCTGCTTGAAAAAAAATTAAGAGATTGGGTGACATATATAACCTGGTGTCTTAAAGTGCACCTTGAGTTATTAGTCTTATTAATATCTCTTAATTTTTTGCATTTTTCTACAGCATTTCTGTGAACTCCAAAGTGCTTCTGAAAGAGATGTTTACTAATGCTTACTTTGTTTTACTTACTCTCAGGTGGATAAACTGAAGTAGATATAGGTATGACCACAGTCATAGAATAGTGTCTGAGACATATGAAGCACTTGCTAGACTTCTACCATTTCCAAGTTAACCACTTTTTATTAACAAGCTTTATTAAGGAAACTGGTGTATATGTTTTTACTAGAAATCACTTAAATAGCTATACATAATTTGTTATATGTTTATGCTTTTACAGCCTGAAGAACCCATATATTTATTTTAAATGTGAGGGAATAATTAAATATTGCCTATATTATTAAAAAAAAATCTGAAATCAAACCTGTTGAAAGGACGAGTCTCTGTTTTCCACCAGTCTTGTCATCCCCTGGTCTTTTCTCACTGTAGTAGTTTGAGTATTTTACTAGTCTTTACAACCCTGCACTCAGCTTTCAGCTCCTTACTTTCTCCTGGTGGCAGTTTATTTTCTCTGTGACAATAAAAGTTGTTCCTTTTGTTGCTGTTTATAGAAATGTTTAACATTTATTGTATTGTACAACTGAGATGATCTATCTTGTTTAAAATATAGTTTATGGTATCAGTGTAATGGATCTTCATTACTCTGAAAGACTTCAGTAGTTGCTGTAAAGGTATTATTTAGCCCTTGCCATGAAGTGGTATGGGCCATGACACAATTGGTGTCTAATGGCATCTTTAGAAGAATTTACAGAATTTCTGTAGAAAAGAATGAAGATTAAGTGCCTAGAAATTTGTTGCCCCTGAGCACTTACTTTATTATGTGCTTGATGTGTTTTAAAATACGAATATGCAACCTGATAAATATGTCAGAGTTTAGAATTTAATTTGATGATCCTAAGGAGAGCTGATAGAATAACAGCTACTAGAACTACCCCACCTGCCTGCCCGATACTTTCTCTGTATGTAGAGCAAGTATTAGTGCTACTTCTTCTTATAGGGGATGGAGAGTTTTACTGATTGACTGCTGCTGCAGTTATGATAGTTTTTGGAAATTTGAGTAAAAATAGATCTGTGGGAGAGGATTTGTACAAATGCAGAGGAATAAGATTGTTACACATCCACAGTTACTGGGGTGAGGGAGGTGAAAGGTGAATGTATTTAAAAGGCGATTGCTCCAAGCTTTACAGTTAAATTTAATTAAAAAGAAAACAAAAATGTGCAACCAAAATTAGGAGGGAGGGAAGAATATTTATTATGAGTTTCAGTTCTGAAGTAAAATTTAAGGAATATCTGAATAATATTTACTTTGGCTTCACACCCCTATTTATTGACTAATTGAAATAAAAATATTGTAATGATTACTTTGAATATTTTCACACTGATCAATTGCATTTGACTCATCTTGTTATATATAGTATGTTATACTACTTAGAGTGGTGTATTACATTTATATAGATTAGGCAAGTAACACTATGGGAAGATTTAGTAGAGATCAGGCCATACTACGCCTCTGCAAATATAGAAGTACCTGAAGTTATTGATCACATACTACTGACTGAGTATCCCCAGAGGGGAAGTGGTTTCTGAGACAAGTAGCAAGTCTTTGTAGTAAAAGAGAACTTCTTTTTAAAGGAAAATCTATAGCTTCATTTCTGCTTCTGTCAATTGTGATCAAGTAAATTGTTTTAGTTCTGTGAGCTGTTTCAGAACTGAAGCTTAATACATCTTCTCTGAAATAAGAATTTATATTAAATCTTGTATAGTAGTGCATGTTTCTCAGATCTATAAACTTGTATTGAATTTTGAGGGAAAGAACATGTGCATATGCTGTTACTACTTCAATGGCAAGCTGTAGATTATTGTGAATATAGTTTACTCATGTTCATCGTGTTTGTCTAGTGCCTTTCTTTTCAGGTGCCAGTGATTTCTCTCTTAAGAGGTTATTGAAGCAGAAGGGTCTTTAGTGAACTTATTTTTATTATGAAACTTTATGTATACACTCTGCATAGTTTGAATTAACACATTTTACACATAGCTCTTGGGTTCTTTTGAAAACATTTCACAGGAGTGTTTTCAGCACTGGATCTCTAGTAGGAGAATGTATCTCTGGGAACATAAACAAGGATGTACTGTAATTTAGGCCACTTTTTTTTCTGAATCTTATGTACCTAAAAAGGAAATAAAGTATTTACAGACAAATTATTTACCACTTAATGTAAGCTGAAAATCTCTCTCCCAGTCTTAAGGTATTTTACAAATGTTTGTCTTCATCTTTCTACTTGCTTAAGATAGTGTCAATATTACATTCCTTTTACTTTTGACCAACATGTTAAATGTTGCAGAAACTTCTAAAATTATTGTATTTCTAAGACTTCATAGTTGTAATAGTCAGTAAAGAGAATCTACAAGATTATTGGCACTGCAAGAAAGCCTGATATGACTTTGATATTGTATAGGTATGATTTTGCTGTGAATGGATAGTGTGTCTTTGCTATGTATTGAACATGAATTAAAAAAAAAAATGGTTTCTTTTAATACCCTATCTGGCTGTGGCAGAGATGCATTTGCTTACATGAATATATAAAAACAAGTGTGTGTATGTGTGTGTCTATTTATATTATATATGTGCATATAACTTGAAGTCATTATTTTTGAAGTACTATATCATTGTATTAAAATTACAAGCTGGATTATGCTACTTTTAAGTAAGCAATGTTTTTAATTCCCTATGATGTTTACAAAAAACCTAGTTATGTATGAATTCTTCCACAAACAATAAACATATGCCCTAAAAGTTTGATTTAAATGGAATGTGTCATAATATTTTTTTAATAATGAGTTTAGAAAGTGAATTTTTGCTTTTATATTACAGTATGTGTAGAATTTAATTAGACTGAAAACAACAGGCTTATCACCATGTTTTTAAACAGACTACTCCTGAAGTTTTTAGGCCTATTTCTATTACATCTTACTAGGCTACTAAGTTCACTTGTGCATAGTGTTACAGGTGTCTTTGAGTCCCAGGATATGACTGTCTTCTGACAAGGTAAAACTGCAGTTTACAGCTCATACAGAAGTTTAAGAGGGATGGACACACAAATAATTAAACTTGAAGGAGAATGGTTTAGAATTGAATACTACAGTGGGGTCAAAAAAGTATTTGTTGCATTCTGATAGAATATTGTGCTGTTCAGGTATAAAAACTGTAGGAGGTAAGGGGTTGCTATTTTACTTAATTTTCACAGAAATGTAAAACTACCTTCTTGGTATTTGAAAAATACATTTTGTTATTCCCAGCAAGCTAGCTACATTGTTTATACAGCAATTAAGGCTACTTTACGCACATAGTCAGTACTGTGTATTTCTGTACATGAATCAAAACTGTTTTGTAATGATGAATAATTTCATGATTTTGTGTTTCCTTTGTGTATCACATTGTGACTCTTCCCTGTAGTTAAGGAAGATTATTTTGCTCCACAATGCAAATGATTTCTTGAAAATTTTCTGTCTCAGGAAATGCAAAAGGTAATCAACACAAGGTGTACTTGAAATTTGAACTTACGTATGTACCTGTAATTTACACTTTAGTAAGAGTACTTCTGCATTTTAGTAGATAAAATATCTCATAGACTGTTCCATGTCACTTGATGTAAATTTAGTAGAAAATTAACAATAAAACAGTATTTATGGTCTTTTTTATTTCATCTGATCACTTTCTATATATACAATGTGATATGTATATTCAATAAATTCTTTGTGTGAAAAATAGGGAAGAAAGACTATGTTAGTTGTTTTTTTCAGCTGAGCAGTGTAGAGGAAACTAATACAACAAAAAGCACCTATAGCTTTTGCTTTTTCAACTTCAGTTTAGTCACATTTTAAAAAATACTGTGAAAATAATAGAATATCCAGAAGTTTAATACAATAAAAATTTGAAAAATTAATTCCCTACACTTTTTAATGGTAGATTTGGAGTAAAAATATCTTACGCTTATCATATTTTTTTCAGTATTTTACAGATAGAAAGGTAGTCTGTTAAGCTGGAGTCAAGGAACAAGATACATATGTTGTCATGCAGTGTGATTATTGAATGTGATGAGAAGAATTCTCTGTATATTCCATTATTGCTACTACTTAAAACTGTCTTAGCATATTCAAAAATAGGGCCTTTTAAAAAATTTATTCTGATCTTACCATATATGTATGCACACAGAATTCGTTTTTTGCCATTTCTATGTGGAAAATATAACTTTCCTTGTATGACAGAGGAAATATAGTGCTGTTTTACACAGTTTCCAGGTCTATGCCTGTCAGTGTTCATGGAGTGATCCAGAATGGCTCTCTTGTTGATCCTAGTGGTTAAGCAATGGATAGTCGGAAGTAATCAGAGTATTCAAGTTCACTTCCTACAATCTTTTAATCTAAAAAATAAGGGTATAAATTTATTGAACTTTCATAATTAATTTTGATAATGATTAAATGGAACTGCTTTCAGCATACATTATAATGTAGCAAAATTGTACATTGACTGACTAAAAATCCATGTTGGAGAAAGCTAATAATCTATTTTATTAGATAAAGTTGAGGTCTGCTATTGAATTCAGACCTTATTTACCACTTTTAGAAATTAAGATTTGTGTTTAAATTGCATTTCACCTCTACTTAGAATACATAAACAACACATTTTTATTTAGCTAGAATAGATTTAAAAAAAAAAAAAAACAACCTTTGAAGAGGTGTGTTGCTAGCTCTGCATAGAGCTAACACAGTAACAGGTGGTTTGTTGTTTTTATTCTTTTTTTAATACCTTGAAATGAGAGCTGTGCATCTGAGAGCAGGACCTGGCCTTCAGAGTTGGTTTTATAACTTGAAGTCATTGCTATGGAAACACAAGTACAATCTCTCAAGACTGATTTCTCAAACTGCAGTGTGTTTCAACAAATAAAGAACAAACGATAACTCTAGTTGTTTTTAGAATACTAGTGAAAAATTAGGCTGCCAGTTTGTTGTGGTTTTAAAAAAAAAAACTTTCTTGGAAAATTCTCATGTATTATGGTAGAAAATACTTTTATCATAAAGTTAAGATTGACTGCTTGTTAAGATCTGATAGCCAGTTTGGTAAGTACGAATTTATATATCGCTCTCTATATATATTTCAACAATACAGTATTTCATAATGTCATTACAATTAATCAAAATAATTTCATAACAAGGAATATTTATATTTAAAAGAGCAACAAATTGGCTTAGAAGAAGCCAGTAACCTCAGACAGCACTGTTCATCTATCAGTAACAATACTTAGAATTTTCAAGGGAGAAAGAAGTATCCAGCCATTTCCTTTGTGGGAAGCTCAGCAGTCCTTACATTGCCTCATATATGATTCTTGGTGAGTACACAAATTTTATTCCAGATAAGTGAGTGAAGGATATACTTTCAAAAAATACATTCTGAAAGCACAAATGGAAATTAGAATTAGTTGTACTGTTAGCATACTAAAAATACATCTGCTTTGCTATTTAGGTCCAGCCTTTGGCAGCTTCTTGCTCTACTACTAGCACTTGGAATTTGTTGCATGTATTTTTACTTTTTTAATGAAAACATTATAGAGTACAAGCACAAAGCAAAAAATTTACAATTTTATTGCAGTAACATGACTTTGAAAAAGATAGGCTGTGCAGAAGTGAGGAAAGTAGGAGGCTATATGCAGGCAATATAACCATGTTTAGATTATTACACCAACCAGAAAAGAATTTTAAGAAAACTGGAAGAAGTTCATGTAGTTAATAGGATAAATAAAATTGTTAGAAATAAGACATCTTTCAAATAAAGATTTTGTCCAATTGATAAAACTAGTAAAGAACCTAAGTTCTGGTATTAACAAATGCAGGCTAAAAAAATCCCCCACCAAACTTGGAGTAAGAGCTTACTAAAGCTATAAAAATAATAATGAAACTTTTTTTTTCCCCCAGACGGAAATATAGCAAACCACAGTAGGCAGGATATAGTACAATATTAAGAAGAAATAAAAAAAAAAAAGATTTAAAAGACCTATATACTAGAGGTATTATTAATGCATATTTTAAAAATATCACAAGCAGACAGAAAGCTCGTAGTGTGCTGGTTGAGCTGACATCAGAGCAATAAAAGGAGCTTTCAAAGAAGATAAGGCTGTAGCAGAGAAGTTTAAAGTGTTTTGTATCTGCGTTTATTGCAGAATGGTTAGAGAGTTTTCCATGCTGGGTCCAGTATTCATTGGTGATTGATCAGAAGAAATACTCTTAGCTAAAATGTCATACAAGTGATTTTTGAATTAATCAATAAAATGAGCAAAAATAAATCACCCAGTATCAATAGTACTCGCTCACTAGTTTTCAAGGAACTCAAACAAGAAATTCTTAATCTGTTAAAAATATTGGATAGTCTTGTTTGAGTTAAGGGTAGTCACATGCTGTAAATGGGACAAATGTGGTATCCATTTTAAAAGGACTTATAGAAGGGATGCTGGGATCTGTAGACAAGTCTGAAATCCATGCTGGATTAAAAAAAAAAAAAAAGACATTGAAGATCGATGTATTGGGCAATGTCAGTAGGGCTTTTCCAATTATGTTCCATTATGTTCTTGAAAGTGCAGTTGAAAATATGGTGAAGGACAGTAAAGCTTTCAGCAAGGTACTTGGCCTTTAAAAGATACTAAATTATCAAGTAAGTAGAGGGAAGAATCTTCAACAGTTTAGTTGCCAAAGTTACGAAGCAGATATTAAAAATGTTTAACTTTCATAGCAGCAGGCAGATACTGTTTAGGTCCCAAAGAAACCTGTAGTGGCATTTGTGCTGTTCAGAAAGTAATTTTTAAAAAACCCATATTTGCCAGTGATACATGATTTTAGAAAAAAAAAAATTAAAATGTAAAACCTAATTGTAATGCTAACAAATTGGGTGATAAGATGGCAGCTGGAAAAACAGTGTTGACAGATGCATATCAGTAAATACATACACAAAACTAGTAAATGATAGTTGTCTCTTACTGCTTATAATGAAGATTTGGTTGTCCTTTTGACTAGTTCTATAAAAAATTAAGCTCAGTGATAGTAAACAAGAAACAAATCAAGAAAGAAAATTGAAATTATCACTAAACCATTGTAAAAAATTGCATTGTGCTTCTGTCAGGAATGCTGTTTATCCCCTTTTTTAAAAAAAAAGAATGGGAAAAGATGCATGGAAAGATTAACAAAACTCACAGATTAAGAGTTTCAAGCCAAGGAGAAAGTACATTAAAAATACTCAGATTCAAGAAAAATAATTTTTCAGAACATAGTGATAGACTAGCAACATTGAATGGTGTGAAGAATATTAATAGAGAACAATTTTCCATTCCTTATAACAAAAGAGGGGCATCCAATTAAATTTTCAGATAGCCTGTTTAAACAAAGAAAAGGAAAGTTTTCAAACTCATTACTACAAGATACTGTAGAAATTGAAAAGCATAATAGATGCAAAGTCACATAGCATTGATCAGAAAACATACTTTGTTAATAGGGTGGTCCAGGTGCCACTTTTGCCTCAAAAAAGTCTATAAACAGCTGATTGCCAAAAGGCAAGAAAAAGTATTTATGGAAGTAAATACGACAGTTCTATTTTATATACCGATTTAGGTATTCTGCAATAGACATTATATTGATTTCTGTATGGAAAAATAAATGTCTTAAACTTTCTGAAATTAAGGATATTCATACTAAAAAGAGAGAAGGAGGCAAGAAACTATGATTTGGTGGCAACTAATTAATATTTTATTTTGTTTGTGTGAG